AGATGAAGAAAGAGAAAGAGAGAGAAAGAGACGAGGATTGAACGTTACCGTTTAAACTAAGTTCGAAAAGAAGTTTGCATTCTGAATATATAATACATAAAAGTTGCTACATAGATGTCTGACAATTACTGTATTATATTTCTCAATGATAGATCTCTTGACGGAGGTCTGCGTGTACGTCAAGGAATTTACAAATGGAAAAATAATTCAGTAAACGCAGAACGCATCGGTGTACACAATGCCTTCCTTTGATCGACCAATGAAATGTACACACAGCTCAAGTATATTGACAAGAGATTCTTGCTTACAAAGCCAAGCTAGAAACACATGTGCCATCATTTTCGTGCATATAAGAAGAGATATAAAACTTAGGACTTCTTACAAGACTGTATTTTTAACTCCAGACTAAGCATCCTTGAATCTAATAAGAACTTAAACTACCACTGATCTAATTAAGAATTTAGATTCAATCGCGAAGCATAATATTTCGAAATATCCGTAGGTCTAAGAAGCCGAAAAAAAAAAGAGATTCAGACTTTGACAGTTGTAAGGATTTTTAAGAAATCCAGAAATGGCTCCGAGGCTCTAAGGATTTTAAGTAGGAGTCTAGTAAGCTGCTAAGGTTCTGCGAACCTGCAAATTCCGTGGTTCTACTGATAAACCAAATTCTGCTCCCATTGTCTTAGTGCTTAGAAATTTCCTAGTAGCGTAGAAAAAGCAGAAAGAGAATGCAGCTCTTGAAACAAGCCATGAATTTTTTAACGCATGCATTAAAGTGAAAAATCACGCGATGTGCGAATAAGTAGATGAGAATCTCTAAAATTAACGATTGTAGAGAGCTCATCGACATGCTAAATGATTAATAGATTGTTTCTCAACAAAGAGGCTTAAGTACATACTAAAAGTTGATCCCATAGCATGTTTCATTACAACCACTTATACATGGAATACTGCCACTGTCGAGTTCACGAATTTTGCGAATGTTGCCTTCAGACGAATGCAGTTTTGAAATGCAAGAGGATTTTGCAAAATCTGGCCGCCAGAAGATCATGATTAAATTATTTTCGCATTGAATTTCTTTCACTCGCTTTATCATTTATCATTTAGAGACCGTTTAGCATGATATTGTCCATTCTTCAACTTTGAAATCTAAAACTTCTGAATGATGAAAAACCGCGAGACGTTCGTTACAAGTTCTCCTCCGTCAAAAAGATCGCTGTGAGACAGACCTTTTTTCTGCTTACTTGCGTTTCTTCAAAGCAAATGGCACAAACTGTTCTGCGTCTAAGCCAAAGATACTTCCCGAAATGCTGCAATTGTTACGAAATGTTAAAAAATATACGACGAGATTCTTCGATTTCTTCTCGCACTGGGCGTTCCGAAAGAGAAATCGAACGGAAAATTAAAAAGCTGCTTAGACAACACAAAGTCCAAAGTCAAGCGACAAAGCATCTGAAAGATATTCCGATTTTAGACTTTGGCCGAAATCCATAGTCTGTTCTTAATCTGAAAACAATCTCAAGCAATATCTTAAGATACTGATACGACTCTCTGGTCGGTATTCATATTTATAGTCGGATCTTATATTTAAGACCGTCTTAAGTACAGTCTTAAGATGTTATGAACCAATCAGAGGACCGCATTAGCTACTTAAAACATTACTTAAAATAAGAATCGACTATGAATACCGGCCTCTGATTGGTTCATAACATCTCAAGCTTAAGATCATCTCGAATCTTAAGTTACGTCTATGACCCTTTGTGTTGTTTAAATGATTAAGCGGAAAGTCGAATTAATAAGTCGATGAAAATTTTTTTCTGAAAACTTTATAAACGATCGAGAAGAATAATAACAAACGCGTGAGTGTCTTTTTGGAGCGTCCCGCGTGTACGAGATGTATAATTATTCTTGCGTTAATTATTATTTTCATTAATAAAGGATTCGTCAATTTTATGACACGCAGGTGGAATTTTATCGCGAGTTGTAATTTGGATTTGAATTTTCACGAAATTCTGACTACGTTCGATCTGTGAATGGCGTAAAGAGCGAGAAGGAAAAAAAGAGAAAAGGAACGACGTTATTATAGTATAGATACAAATTAATATCTGTGATTATCGTCGATGCAGATATATTTTAAGTAATTTCTACAGCGTTCGGGCACATTTGTAAAAAAGGAACGGAGGACAAGACAAAGGGAGAAAAAAGTAAAAAAAAAAAACAATTACAATTAATAATAACCATATACGGCGATAATAATTTTAGAGCGATTGTTGAGATAAGATTTATTCGTGTTTGTGTGGGATGATATTGTCGTACCGCGTGATGACGAAGATTAATTAATTACGCATTAATTGTAATTAGGATAATTAATATATAGTGTGAGTATGCTATTGCTGTTTCGAGGAAAGAGGGACATAAAAAGAAAGAAAGAAAAGTAGAAGGAAGACATGAGGGAGTTCGAATGAATGTATTTCGCGGAATCTGATTTTGTTGTTGTACATTATAGATACATCGCATTATACACGATCATTTTCAATAAACATATTCTATAAATGACTTCTCGCTTTTGAACATTTTCTGCTGCATCCGGATTTTATTTCTCGAAGATTTAATTACATTTCTCTAAAATATTATGTCATATTTTTTAAATCTCTCTCTGTTTATTTTTCAAGAATTAAAAAACTTTTGATACATATATAATTAAAGCCTATAATTTAAAGAAAAATTTAACGGTATATTTAAAAAATTCTTAAAAACGATGAACAAAACTAAGATTATTTTGAAAGACATAATTTTTTTTTAAATTCTGTATATAAGCCACTATAAAGTGCCTTTGAGTGTAAAACTTATAAAGTGAACTTTTGTTAAAAATATTTCTTTCTTTTATCGTTTTATTACGATAATATTATTTGTAGTTTCGTCAACTTTAAAAGTCGATAAAAGTCACAAACAAATCAATTTTTTTTTTCAAAAGAAATGTTCCATCTTTTTAACATAAGAATATTTAAAAAAGTACGTTCCTTTTATTTTGGTTATATATCTATACACGACACATTTTGTACAATAAAGTTCATAAAATTTCAAGAAGATACTTATGTTCCCTTTGTGAAGTTATATACAGCTACGATAATTAGAACATTTGAATATTTAAATGCAAAAGCGCAATTTCAAATGCGCAAGCGCAGCGAATCGCCGTGCCTGGGAGGAACCAAAAAAAAGAGAAATACTATAACCTCACTTTTGAGAAATTGGAGGAAATTGGAGTAACATAACCAAAGCCTGCCAAAACTGGAGTGGCGAAAGATTTGTGTTGTTACTTCGAAATTACTTCGTATCTTGGTATTTGTCATTTAATTGTTTTCAATATTTATTGATTATTATAATATTACATTTACATTATATATTAAAATTTTAGAAGACTGTTAATATTCGGTATCTTCTATATGTTTCATTAATTTTGGTTTCTTTATTTAAAGGATGTTCATTGCAATTTACTTTCTTTATTTAATTTATCTTAATCTCTTTATTTTGTGTGTGTGTGTGTGTGTGTGTGTATGTGTGTGTATGTGCGTATTATACATTCAGCAACATCATCTGCAAACTACAGATATAAGGCCCTTTTGCACCAATGTTATTTGGATTTTAAGCAGGGCTTAAAACTCTTTCTGTCTCTGTCTCTTTTTAGCTTGAAAACGAAGCTTAAGAGGTCTTGAAAGTGTCATATTTCGGACATAATATTATCTGGATATATATAATACTGATTGAAATGATATGATAGCATTGTAGTGACAAGTATCAATATTACAAGCTGATAATAATATAATTTTCATGACAATAAGTTTTTTATAATTCTAGAACAATGCAAACCATGAGGATAATAAACATTAATGCATTAATGGGTACTACAGGACTCTGTGAGACTTTTATTCCAAATTCTGTCTACACACAGTGTATACGTTGGAAAAGGAAACCAATTTGGCTGCCTACAGCAAAATCTAAAGTGTTTCGAGTACCAAAAAGACCTGTCATACCTATGGAAGATTGTGTGGAGCTCAAGCGTTTATATAATAATTATAAGACATATATGACATCATTTAAGTATGTATAATTCTATAAATCTGACTTTTGATGATGATGATTAATAAAATAAACATGATTAATACAATAGAATATTCTAGCTACTGAAATTATTGTATATTCTTAGTTTCAAAAATTAACCAATAATGTATTACAGAGCATATGTAAGGCAAATTGTAAAAGAAAATCAAATGCAACTTAATAAGACAGTAGTTAATAAGCTGGCCGAAGAGGACTTTAAAGCATGCAACGCCATAAATGATGAATGGAATGCAGAAATAGCAAAGATGCGAGAGATCAAGCTGGCGGAGATGAGGGAGAGACGCAAAAATGCCATTCTGAAGAATATTTTAAGGAAAGAGCAGAACCAAGAGATAAAAAAGATGAAACTTAATGAATGGGTTAAAAAGGTTAAAGAAGAATCTGTCACGTTCATCACTGCGGAAAATGTAGATGCTGCGATCGAGGAGTGTTTGACAAATATCGTTAATCATAATCGTGCATTGGATTTGGAAGGGAATTGGCATGAAGAAAAGTGTCCCCCGAGCCCACCAATTCCACCTATCAAAGAGACACAGAATCTAGCGGCCATTGAACAGCAAAATTGAATTTGAAAATTTCATATTCACACTGCTCGGAAAAGTAAAGCCAAAATTTAATGGACTTGTACTTTTTTTTCAAGTGTTCTAGATTCTCATTGGAATAATGATGATAAATACAAACTATTATATTATAGATTGTAATAAATATAAAATAGATACTTCAATATTATTCCTTGCTATACATAATTAATATTCCTAGAAAAAATTAAGCGATTAATAATAGCTTAGATATAAACATATCATTTTATAATTAAAAAACTCATATATATATATATATATATATATATAGATGAAATTAAAAAAATTATGATAGAAGTTTCTTTGCATAAAGTTATGCAAAATAATAATGCGCAGAAGACACAACTAATTAAGGTATCGGTTAGTCAAACTTTTGCGTCCCTGTAGAGAGCTTACGAAAAGTGTTTGAAGCCTGTATAATTAGCACAGTGCTCTACAAAACAACTCATTAAAATCGCGCAACTCGAATGCAACCCGGTTGTAACCACGATACATGTATATACATACAAGCGACTGCCTGCTACTGCTATTTACTTGCTTCCCTTTAACGCACTTCAAGCAGTCTTTCGTGGACAACGCGCCGACTCGCACCACTGATTTTGTCCTCTCGCCTCTCGAAGCGAATCGAAACAGAGAAAATATTTGTAAATGAGATTCGTCCAAATTTTAGATTAGTTTATAAATAAAATTGTGATAAAAATAACTGTTGAAGTTGATGAGAAAGTCGCGGTGCTCCATGCAATAATTAGGTGAATGAAACGTGATTATCGGGAATTTATATTGGAAAGTTACGCAAAGTATCATGAAGTTACTTTTTGTATTATAAATGCAAAGTTATTTAGTGTTATAAAATTAATCGGTAAAACTTTCGTGCAGTAAAATCACTATTTTCTGAAATTTTTTAAAATTAATGACTAATGAACTCAAACGTTTTTCTGAACAAAGTTATTTATATTTTATTTATAAAATTTTTTGGTCAGATTAAACTTTTGTTCGGATTAAAGTTTGTAAAGACAAATCTTTTCATTATAAAATACAATCAATCGAAAAATTATTGTTCTCCAAAGAATTCCAAAGAATCAGGATTTAACTATTACAAATTGACATACAATTCACATATCAGCGAAAATGTACAGTGTACATGTGACACCAGGAAGATCCACGGAGCGAAAGAAGAACTCAGCCGACATGGATAACGAAATCAGAACGTATGGAAAACAGAGGAAGGAATCGATTTCTGTGAAGCTGATAAACTACATCCGTTCGCAGTTTCAGTCGGATGCTATGTCGGGTGAGTCGGAAAAAGTTTAGCATTCTAAAGAATCTAAAGCATGCGATATATTATTAAATTTTGATTATAGTTGCTAGATTTTGCCGAGTTCTATGTTTTTATGATTACCAAATTCACATGTGGATTAGACGCATGAGTTTTTTTTTGATGCATGAACTTTATTTATTTATTATATATTAATATACAACTGCAGCTCGACTGCGTAATCTAACTAAAAGTACATAAGAAATTTTCATTTATTAATTTTTATCTATATAATTTCTTATTTATATTTATTTATTTTCTATATAATATATAGGAGACACAATATATGAGTATTATCCAAAGTATTTCATAGTATGAGCATAACTTTAGAAATGAATTTAGAACACAAAAATAACAAAACATTTCATGTAAACATTAGTTCTATTTGACATTATTTCTGAGTTACAAATATTTTCGCGTTTTAATTAATTAAGGGTTTGCTACAACAGTGGGCTGATCCATACTTTTTAAAAATGGAGTAAATAACTTTAAGTGATATTGATATTTTCCCCCATTACTTTAACTTTAGAGTTTAGTTATTCCTTTTTTAAAAAATATGGGTCAGCCTAGCGGCAAGTGCTTAAATTCATTGAAAACAAACTGAGCTGGATTAGCGTCTTTACACATCTTCGCGTCTTACTGATTAATTATTGAGACAGAAATGTGTAAAGACGCTAAGATAGTTGAATTTGTAACAAGAATTAATGAAACACGAAAATATCTGTAACTCGAAAATAAAATCAAGTGGAAGAAATGTTTAACTTTTTGTATTATTTTTGTATTCTAAATTCATTTCTGAAGTTATGCTTACACGAAACACACCTGTATGTACATATAAATCCTATATATAATATAAAATCCTAATAATCTTTTCTTGCTAACACACATGAAAAAAACATAAAATCTCACATTGCACAGCATTACAATCTCACGTAAATAATAGTCTACAAAAGTACTTAATTAATATAAGTATCTTAATATAAGTATCTTATCATTTTATCTTCGATCCACGATATATATTTGCCTTTCCAAGATATTGAGTCCTGAAACTTCTGTGTTTTAAAATAGAACTTTCAATGATCTACGATAGAAGCGTTGTACGTTCAAACATAGATCCGTCCATCTATCTTACAAGATAATATCGATTATTCAATTTTCATTTGCTATTTCTTTTTGTTCGAATATCATTTTCGTTTCAGTTACAAATCGGAGAAATAATTGCGCCTGTCACTCGTCGGTGATGCGAAAACGGAAGAGTACGTTGTTGCATCTCGCGGCAATTGTACAAAATAATTACTGAGGTGTCAATTACGCGGTACACAATGACTAATAGGCTTCGGTTGTTCCAGTTCAAAGCTGGAACACTAACAAAATTCTTCCGTGACTTAGAAACGGAAAGAAATGATTATTCTAGAGAAACGTCCCTTCGTCGTCACTTTGCGGTTCGGGGAACGCTATCCATCTTAAAAATAATCATAATTTTATTCTAGTTGTTTATTTACTATAAACCATAAATCGCGCGCGAATTTTAAGTCTTTGCTATATCCGGCGCGTCCGGGATATCGTCGATTCGATCAACATTATAAAAGAGCGAATCCGAAACCTGAATGTTCATGTCGTCAACGATTGATGGCGGCTCATACTGATTCATCCACACATCATTGATAGGAGCGTTGTTGGTAATCTCTCTCAGATCATCGTTGTTAGTGATAATGGTTGCATGTGACGATATTGGTTGCTCGAGTGGATTGCTGGGCACATTCGTCATTCGCATACCTTGCGATGTGTCGTTATATAACATCCAGTAAGGCGAAAAGGAATGTTGTCGCTGTTCGGCGGTGTATCTTCGTTGAATCGAGCAGTCATTAATTGCCAGATTAGATCGCTGCGAGACGATTGGGGCCACGTAGCAATAGACGCAGGATGTTTGACTTAATTTTGAGTAATCTACTTCCTTGGATAGATGATAATTCAGAATGTTCTCCAAATTATTGGACTCAGAAGTCCACTTTGGCCGGAACGCTTCCACTATTCCTGAATGATGAAATATCGCTTAATTAAAACAAAAAAAAATCTGTTCTTCGAAAAAAACAGTTGATATTATTAAAAAATGTATACATTTTTTTTATATAAAAAATACATATAATTTATATATCTTATTTTTACATTATGTTTGTTTTATATTATTTATTTATATCAATAAAAAAAAAGAAAATAAACGCGCACCATTTGCCGGTCTCTGCAAATTCCCCGTATTAGTTTCTTGATTAATATTATGTTCTAATCCTGGCACGAGATCGCTTTGCGGTTGCTCGAACCTTTCGTTGAATAGATTCTTTGTTTCCTGAGTAAAACGAGGATAAATATATTGATACTGTTGATCATTCGCATAGACATTTTGCTGCACATTATTCTGTCCGAAGGTATCAACGTTGCGAAAATATCCCGTATCCATCTCCCCGCTGTGTTTGCCAAAATTTTGCAGATAATAAATATCGGAGGTATCATTGGCCATTATGTCTGTGCCGGTTGTGTAATTGACGTTCTGCGTATCAAAGTTGAAGAAGTTTTGACCATTGTTGCAGGAGGTATCCGTTTGATACTGATAAGTCACATTGTTGTCCGTGTTCGCGGTAGCTACAGTGGGATCCGTATTGTTGTAATAGATCGCGTGGAACACGCGAGAGTTAGAGGACTGCAGATCACCGTCGGGTACTTCCACGCTAGTGATTGTCCAGTTCTGGTAAGAATTGGGCCGATTATCTACGTCACTAGGAAACCTGTATTGATTGTCACTGGTTAGTACACTTGGAACTTGCTGAGGCACCAAGTTTGCTTCGTTTAGCAAGAACTCGCCCCTAGAATTCTTCAGCAAATTGTAGTATTCATTGGTATTTGTGTCCAGCTGATTCTCATTCTCATTACTCTCTGACTCGGCGGTTAGGGTGTCGGAATTGTCTAATAAATTGCTAGCCCAGAAGAGAGAGCTAGCAATTTCACCTAGATTGGCGCCTACTGGTGCCTGTAGCATTCTCTTTAACAAAAACGAACCCTGCGAGCTTCCTTCAGGTTCCTTCAGCACTTGATAATTCGATCTGTCAGTCGACGAAATCGCAAGAGGATCCGTGTCGTTGATCAGATTTACTTTCGGATAGCTCGGTTCGACAAGAGGGATCGTTTGAAGATTGGGCGACATCGACGTTGTCCGTAGATCTACAATATTCAGATCTTCCACCTGATTATTGTTGTTATCACACGCTTGGAATTCTCGTTGAATTCTCTTGAGTAGGAACTGCTTAAACTCCTCATATTGTGGGATCTTGGTATCATCTTCCTTACTCACTATTTCCTCCTCGGCACCGATCTGCAAAAATGGAAAGCACTTCGTCCGAAGTCAATCATTGCCGCTTGTTTGCTGCATCACGAAATTGAATGAAATATAAAATGGCAGAAGTGAAAGAAAAAACGAGAATGTAATTTGATTGATATGTCGATGCCATATTGCAACCAACTATGGAAATATAATAACTTACCCACTGATAAGGCGATTGTTGCTGTGGCTGTTGTTGTTGTTGCTGACAATAATAATCGTCATCAGTCATTACATAATCGGGACTGTGCAACGGCGTCGATGTTATCCCGAGTTTCGAGTCCTTTGACTTCCTCGTTTTCCTCTTGCGATTCTTCCTTAGCTCTTGTAACAACCGGCAAAACTCTGCATCATTTCCGCTTCTAGCGGCTTGCAGAACTTTAACCAGCATTTTCTTCTGTAATTCAGGGATCGTGAGATGACAGAGTGAGATAATGGAATCAAACATTTGCGATAATTAAAATAAATTAAAAGAAATGGAAAATGAATCGAATCAGTCCTCGCCTTGATGAAGTGAACGGCAAAGTTCACGAAACGTTGGCATTAGCAATGGATCATGATACCGCAAACCTTTAATTAGTATCTCTAAAGAATCGAATCTTTTTTACATGGAAACGTTCTAAGGTTTAAAAGTCAAAATTTTGTGGATATTGATATTCTTACTTAAAGTATATTTAATTTTTACATTATTTTATATCGTTTATTTATTTTAAAAAAAACGTAGAAACTCTGAATTGAAAAATGAAAACTTCATTAATTATTGAAAAAGTTGAAAATCTGATAATAAGACAGGAAATATCAAAGTTGAGAATTTATAAACATTTTGGCAGAAATTAAATAATCTTTGCAAACAAACGATTACTAATGCTAAAATTACAGGATAGGAATTATAGTTAATGATTAATATAATTATATAAAGTAATCATATTATGGTTCTCGATTAATTTTGAACTAACAATATCTCATCTCTATCTTAAGACAGTAAATAAAGACAGATGAAATTAACAAATGCATAGGAATACTGAAAATAAACCGATTAGGGATTAATTTATCCAGACAAACTTAAACAATCACAATGCGATTGGATAATTTTCTTTGTGCATATGTAATGGCTATGCGATTATACAAGTTTGTCTGAATAAAACCTTATAGAATTAGCTTTAGCTAATGCACTTTGCTACACTCTGCATTTGAAACAAAAAAAAAGTGCATAGTGTTTCTCATATAATACGCATGATGCATTATTTATCTTTGTTATTCACCGAATGTTAAACAAAGATAAATGATCTATTACGCACATCATGCGTGAAACAGAATGCACCCAAAGTGAAATGCATAAGCGTAAAGTGCAGACCTTAGGGGAAAGAAGAAAGTAATGGGGCGTAGGGGAAATCCCGTCCATGAGAAACTGACAAGAATGATGATGTTACGTAGACAATTTCATGTAATTCTTGGTTAGGATGTCGCGTACCTCTCCGGATCGCGAGGCAGCGTTACATGAACGAGAGGAAGCGGCTCGTTCTTGCCGGTCGCGAGCGATTGTCCTGCGATGGTCATTCATGTCCACTCGGATCGCGGGAAGCGATCGGGATCGAAGAGAGAGAAC